AGCAAGAATGTGTGGTATCCACCTGTTCTACCTCAAAGTGTTTGACTTCGTATGCAGGTCACCGCACTTCAAAAGCAGGGGAGCCATCCCCTCTGCAGAAGATCAAAATTGAGATGGCATGTCCTCGGATTATTCTCAGAGATGTTTCCCAGATAGTCGCCAATAGCCCATTGTGCAGCTCTAGTGTGACGAGAATAAAGTACCTACTTACCTTGAATAACTGCAAATAAAAAGAGTTTAATTAAAGTAGAAGCAAAATTTTCATACTAGAGTATATTTTATATACTGACTCACTCCTAAAATATAGAGTTTGCACCCTTTTCAATTTAAATTGCAGTAAGATAGATTTAGGATTAAAGTGAGAATCAAACCTTCTACCTGAAAGCTTTAGATGGGCAGGTACTTTACTTTGCAACAAAGCTGCACTATTGGCGATGGTCTGGGAAACATCCCTGAGGATGATCTGAAGACTTGCCATCGCAATTTTGATCCTCTGCAGAGGGGATGGCTTCTCTGTTTTGGTAGCCCGACGACTTGCGTGAGAAGTCGAGCACTTTACTGTAGAACAGTTTAACGAGGACCGATACCACGCATTCTCGGTACCTACGCAGAATGATTAAAGTGGTCACCCACCCGCTTACTGACTGCAGCCAGTGATGCTTGACTTCGGTGTTCTAATTGGAACCGTGTCCTGAACGCTTTAGAGAGTTTTGCTGAAAAAGTATTCTTCAATCACGAGTTGTGTGTTAATAAAGGCCGCTAACGGCCCCAGGCGCCCAGATAAATATTGATGATGATGAGTTGTGCGTTAAATTCATGCTGGAAGGGGTTTCAAAATAAACTACACTAGGTACAGTTTTTGAATAGTGTTGTTATTATAAGGTAAATTGTTCGTTGATAAATTTTCATTGACTCTCAACGAAAATATCAAATCTAATTATGCACATTTCTCATACAATATTCAGGATAATGCTTCTATTATGCTTGGGACCATTTGATTAAGACTACTATGTGAAATTTAAAGATGCTTATATTTAGTGAAACAGCATTCTTCATTAATTATTTAAAATAAACGGTTTACGCTTTAAACATATCTTGAAAGAAGAGGGTTTAAGCTTTTATTGATGACTTATTCAAGAAACATTATATGGATTTCAAGTTTAACTCTGAGTTTAAAAATAGAGCCAGCTCTTGTGCTTAAGTTCGATGTTTCCTTTGTACACGTAAGTAGTATAATTTTGCATGCTTTCATTTTCTACACGTCTGATTACATATTTGTATATCGTTTTTTTAATTGCATATTTGTCTCATTGTTGTATTGTGGCTCAAGTATTTTTCTACTCTATAGCATATTTCTCTACACTTTTCCTCTTTCGTTGGTAAATACTGTATTTGAAGTTATTTTTTAGTAATCTTAATTGGCGGAGATAATCTCATTTTTGGTTAGTGGTTTATAACTTAATGAATAAGTTATTTAATTATAAAGCTAAAAAAGATTTTCTGTATTCAATAAGTATATTTGTTTTGTTAAAATTAATTTAATGATAAAAACAATTTATGGTAATTTCATGTTACCTTCATTTTTTATATTAATATATATAATAAATACTTTAATTAAAAGTATATAAAAATGGTTTCTTTATTTTGTAAATTATGCAATTAAAAGCTACAAATAACATTTGATAACTCGAAATAAATCTATCGAATAGTTATCCTGATCTCCATGAAATAAAACTTAAAGTATTATTTTTATAAAGTGCTGCATCTTAGAAGAATGTTATTTTTCATGAAATATTAAACCAATACGATTTAAAGTTAATAGTTTTCACGTTAAAATTGTATATTAGCACGAAATTAATATGAAATTGCAATAAAATCAAAATATGCAAGAGAAAAATTTCTCGATTTCAATTTTAAAATCTTTTTATTCTATTTTATTATTGGAAGTTTTCTGAATCATAAAAATGTCATTCACATATTTAAGAAATGTTTCAGAAGACGAGATTTTTAATTGTGTGCAAAAATATTTTGTTTTAAGTGTTCCAAAGATATGTTAAAGTTCAGTATGACCTGTCAAATTTACTGAATGACCCAAGACATTACTAACATGTTCTATTGGTCCATTTTTTGGCAATGGTGCCCTGAATAATTAACCTTCTTTTAGTGAAATCCCAGCTTTATAAAGCCAATTAGCCTTTGTGAATATATTAAAAAATTGTACTACCAACTATTTTGAATGAACTACTAGTTTTGAGAGTAATCTGTAGAAAGTGGTTTTTTCATGGATTTATTAATAATAGTTTTCAAATTAGATTTCGCATCAGGTAAGTGAAGTCGCTGAGCAACATCTATTCTGGTCCCAAATCAGGTTTTTTATCCTTCGTAGGCAATAGTCGAAGGGAATAAAACAAGCTGAATAATTTTTAGTTGTTGAAATGAAAGCGAACAGAAACTGATATAAACGTGGAGAATGGTTATAAGAAAAACATATATCTCCAACGATGAATTTAAATATTTTATTTTGAATTAAGAGGTTTGATGAGAAATGTTAAAGTACTTTTTTATTAATGGGTATATTTTTTCGGAATTCATACAATGTATTGTTATTAGAATAACAGTATATGTATACATGTATTTAAATTTTGCCATTTTTCCCCCCGGCAGTTTACTTAAACAATTTCTTAGAAATAACTAAAATATTTAACAAACAAAAGATTATTGATTAGATATAATTATAACCACAGGATTAAATTCTTAATTAAATTAAATTCTTAATTAAACTCTTAATTCCCGGAACCCCTGTGAGCTTTCCACAGAACCCAAGGGAACTCTTTCTGGGAACCCCTGTCCTACTGTATTGTTTAAGAACTCATCAGATCACCGAATACTACATCAAAATTTTTAAGAAAAAAATTTTTCAGATCGGTTTCGATTAACAAATTTATTATGCATTACATCATTAATTTGTTATAAAATACAAATATGCTCTTTAAGAAAATTTTTATACCTCGAAAATGAGAAGTAAGCAATTTTTTGTAATCAGGACAACTTTTTCTCAGGGCAAAAGAGAGGCTAACAGTTGCATGCTGTTAAATGCACGAACCAGGCAAATTAGAAATATACAGTGGACGTGCGCCATTAAGGCAGAGTCGTTCTGCACGTGCTCCAGTCCATAATCGCGCAAAAATTCAGGAAAATAAACATGTAGTGCACCAATGTTATTCGATTACATTCAAAGGCAAATTAAAAAGAACTGAAATACTTTTAAAAGAAAAGTTACTTTTCGAGCAAAATCTTTCGTTTGCTATAAATTAAGTATTACGGCATCTGAAGTTAATTCTTTTCATCCATGTCAAAGCTGCAGTCTAACATTAATCTTTAATAATTCCGGTATGCAGGCTACGTCATTTAAAATAAGTGTTTTGAGTCGTATGTGACAATTGAGGGGGATCTCTTTAAGCAGCCGAATCAAGATACCCACCATGTTGAACTATTTTAATTTCGTAGAACAGTTTCCAAAAATTGACCAAGCTTTTTTTTTCTAGCAATAAATATACATCAATTTGTTTCAATGATTTGTCTAAAATTTTGATTATAGCTTTTTTTAAATATTTATTTGGTATGAAACAGGCATTTTTGAAGTAAAAAAAAGCATCGCAATTTTATTAATATATATTTTTTGTACAACTATTTTGGCAGAAGTTTTCATTAAAATAAAATGAATTATATATTACGAAAATTGTGGTTTAAGGAAGAGCAGAGTTTTAAAAACTGTTCTTTTTAGAAGAAAATGCTCCGGTTTACGAATCTTCTAAAGTAACAGTAGCAATGCTAATGAGGGGAATAAACGATACTTGAAAACACTTTTAATGCAGCTAGAATAAAGGTGTTTTTGAGGTTTCATACTCTGAAATTTATTATAAAGAAAAAATAATGATAGGTGATTTTTGGTCGAACAGCATGAAGCTGACCCCTTTAATGTAATTATATAGTTAAAATGATGACCATCATTGTGTTTGATATATATATATACTGAAAATCATATAATTATCTGCAATTTAACTTTTTTGTAAGACTTTAGTTGGCGAGTTTCTTCTCATTCCAAATCTAGTTTTGTACCTAGCATTTGTAAAATTTGGTCATTAATAGTTTCTCTTTTACTTCATTTTCTTTTTAGAAAAACTCTTAAACTAATTTTAACCAGGAAGGAAACTAATATTATTTCAATAACAATCTTGCTAAAATTCTTTTTATGAATTTTTTTTTTGAAGTAAAAAATGTTAGATTATAAGATGGAAGAATAAAATTATAACTTCATGCTCCAATTTTATACATTTTATTAAAATTAATTGAGTAAAATAATAAAATTTCATATCATACTCCATAAAATTTGAGTACCTAAATAAATTTGTAATGTACTTGAAGTAAAACTTTTAGATATATCAAAATAAACGGAGAATGAATCATTGAATTATGGATTATTTTTTACTGCATGGTAGTTGAAGAGTTAATTGGACCAAATGACATTCTAAAAAATAGTAAATGTAACAGATGTAATAGACATCAAAACAAGTTTAATTAGAGGTTAAGACTTGAAGATGTTCTTAGTAAACGTCTCCACTCTGTTCCCTCCCGTAATAAAAATTACCTTCTATGTTCAACAACGCAATAACATTCCCTTTCGTGTACTGTGATTCAACAGATTTCGATATGGTTTCTGTTTTCACTTAAATACTGATTTACAACCCTGATATATACACTTTTTTGTTCTAATTTTTGAAATGGATTCGAAAATTGAATATTAAAAAGTTTTTTTGAAGTGCCCTGCATTAATTATAAAACTTTATACATTCCGCAAACTGCAATTGCTGTTGTTTCAAAAGTGAGAGAAAATGTTGGCATTGTTTCCTGCTCCTAAATTGTAATAAACTAACTATTCAATTGAAAACATTTATTTCAATAAAAGTAAACAAAAACTGCAATAAAATTACCAGAAAAACCAGAATATAATAAATTGAACTTTTATTGATGCGTAATACAGCATTTTTAAATTTTACATAAATATTTCTAATTTCTGCTTTCTGTCAAACCATCTTCATTTGAATAGTTCCTTTTGCATTGATCTTGTAGATAGAATCTGAAAAAAAATTAAAATAGATATTAGAAAATACTATTTTTAAAAGCAGAAACAAGATGTAATTTAAGACTTAAGAATCAATTGATTAAATTACAATCAAATCAATTGATCAGACCTATTCTCAAGCTGATTGATTACAATTATAAATAAAAATTTGTCAATAGGGTCAGATGCAAAATTTAATCAGTAAAAAGTCAAAATAGCTGTCCATTTATTATTATTTTTTTAATTTTTTGTTAAATAAAGTAATTTTGTATGATTTTAAATTTTTGCAACAATTATTTTAAATAATCATCGAATAAATTTTTTTTTAATTTTTAAGTTTTAAGTAGTTCCAAAAATATAATTTTTGTAATTTAATCAATTTTATTTCATCATTTATAATTTGAACTTATACGTATAGTGCTTATAGAACATTGGTTTCACAATTCAAGATATCAATTACTTTATGAATTGATGGACTTCAGATAATGTAGCAACACGAAATAAGTCACATTTTTCTCGAAGGGGCAATTTCACATTTCGTCTTCTTTTTCCAGACATCTACATAACAAGTTTCTAGAATTTTCAGAAGATAACGGAACAATACACAGGAACACTGTATTGCCTACATGAAAATTGCAATATTTTTCACCAAAAACGTTGTTTTGAACATTGGCTTGTCATTATATTAAAAATATGTCTTATTATTATATTGCCTTAAGCTCTTCAATTTGGTGCATGAACTTGTTGCATTTTTTAGAAAATACACTTTCAGAAAAATTGATTAAGCGTTGAACCGTAACATCGGTACCTTAAACGGTTCAAATGAGCTGTAACAGTAATAGCTCATTACATTGGACCATGTTACCGTTCAACTTATATTATTGCGTATTCAAGTTCAACAAGTAGGATAATTTAATTACACTTAGCATCATATTAAGGTTTCATTATATATGAACGATTTTAAAGTCAACAACAACATCTTAAGTTTGCAGAAAATGCGAACAAGCTTATGCTTCAGCTTGCATCATATTAAGGTTGCAGCAAATCTGAACTATATTGTAGTTCTTTTTAATACCATATTAAGATTGAAACAAATTTAATTGGTATTAAGGATCAAATTAGCACCATATTAGAATAAGCAAATGCAAATTCAGATGATATTATGGATTAGTTTAGCACCATATTAAGGTTGCAGCATATTTAAACGGTATTTAGGCTCAGATTAGCATCATATTGGAATGATCAAATGCAAATTTAATTGTGGCTCAGTTTAGCACCACATTAAGGTTGTAGAAAATTTAAACGGTATTAAGGCTCAAATTAGCACCATATTGGAATGAGTAAATGCAAATTTAATTGCAGCTCAGTTTAGCACCATATTAAATTTGAATGCTACTGTTCAATATGCTTTAAAATTTCCAACAGTGCTTTCAACGCGGAAGTTATTCAAATTATATTTTTAGCTGCACGCAGAAGCTTTCTAAAGTTTTTATATTTTTCTACTTACATTTTCTCTAAATTTAGTTTCATATATGTCACAAGTTTTAGAATCTTTCATAAGGTGTTTACAATGCAGAATGCTTGTGATGCATATTGTTGAGATTTTTAAAAGATACAAAATGTTTTGGCGCAATTGGCTCAGATTTTATATTACTTTTTTACGATTGAGGCAGCAAGAATCCTAATTAAGGTCCGTCCAGACACAAGGACAGAATACGGGTGATTTTCTCCTAAAGTTACGACTTTTCATTTTCATATTTCAGGGAAAGTCATCAAATTTTACATATTTTCACCACTATTTATTCTCCAGCGATCATCGTAAAACAAGGAAGAACCATTTCTGTATCGTAAAATTCGGGATAGAAGAAACTTGCATATTTCTTTTTTAGAAACTTCGATCCAAAAATTTAAATGAAATGATTCTGAGAAAATACGTAATATTCATATCAACACATACCGAAATTTTTCCGAAATACTGAAATCATTAATTTTGATAGAAAGGTAATTATTATTAAGGACTATTTTTTTAAAAAATTAAAAAAATAAAGTTTTGAATATTTTGCACTTGCATATTCCTTAAATTATTCTTTATAGAAATTTTAATCTAATGGGAAACAATTACTTTAATGAGGAATTAAGCCAAAAAAATTATACCTTTATAATTACTTTTCTTTAATTTTATGTCTACAAGATTATTGAAATTTGTTTTGAAACGAGAAGTTACTTTCATTTTTGTATTTTTTTTATCAACGCAAGTAAAAATAATGTAGCTTAATACTTAAATAGGAAAGATAATACAATAATAATCAAATGATCATGATCAAAAATAAATTCTTCATTAATCAACTAATGGTGGTAAGTAACAACTGCTTCTTAGAATTAATTATTTTGGGACATATTCGTATTTAGTACAATGTTCTTTCGCAAATAAACATTAAGAAATTAGATCTTATTCCGAATTTTTTAAAACTTTTTATAACTTTGACGTTGCAAATAGTTTTAAAATGAGAAATGCTAATTTTTATGTATGCTTTAAAACATTTAAAGATGCTGAAAATGAGTAAGAAAAAATAAATAAAACACTTTAATAAAACATGTTAAGAACATAAAAAAATTGGAAAAAAAAGATTGTAAGAAAAAAATAAAAATTAAAAACTCAAAATTTTAGGAGTATCTGTGAGAAAACTTAAGAACCAAAAATAAAACATCCTGAAAGTTTGTTAGAACAAAAAATTAAGAACGAAAAGTGAAGTATGTTAAGATTCTGACATCATACAAGAAATAATTAATAATCTGGATATTCTGGAGTTCTGTAAGAAAGAATTAAGAGCAAAAAAAGTAGGAAATTTTATTTTTAATTTATAACCAAAAATAAGATTCTGAATTTCTGTTAGGAAAAATTAAGGAAAAAAAGATTCTTAAATTTTTAGAAATTTAAGTATTAAAAACGTATAGTTTTTAAAGTTTTAAAAACATTTTAAAAAATTGAGAATTTTCAAGACTTTTAAGAACTGAAAATCCAAGTAAGTTTTACAAAGCATTATCACTAGTAAGTATTATCACGGAATTTAGACTTTTGAGACTCAACTGAAGCATAAAAATTAACTTAGTTTTTCCTGCTATTCAGCTATCCTCTGACTTCCGGCCATTTGACAAGACTTTGTTTAGCTGTCCCACAATGATTATCCACAATAAAAGAGGCAACCTTCTAATCACATTAATTAAGAATACATTTTGAAGGACATTTCCGTTCGCAATTTCCCATACTTCAGTTAAAATTCAACTCAATTTTTCCTTTTCTTTTGTTCACATTAATGTTATTATTGCAGTTCATAGCTAATGTTTGATGAACACAGTAAGATTATGTTTGTAAAGCGTATTTGTTTGGAATGAGAAATTACTCCATGTTTTTGTTTGATTTTATTGTTTTGCGTTCGTTTATTTCTCTAAATTCACTATAGTTAAGTTTTTTTTTTCGTATTTTCGTTTATTTATTTAACTAGGCTTGAAAAGATACTTAAAAATGTGCTGTTTTTATTCCTATACTTATTTAGAATAATAACTTCTATTGTAACCTGTGATTTGACTGTATCACACAGCGCCGAATCGTTTTTCATTTTAACTGGTTTAATTCAGTTTAGCTATTTATCGTTTGCAAGGAAATTTAGTTCATTTATTTTAATTTTGGTTTTTTTTTAAACCGCAGTGGCATTTCCACCTTTTAAATTGATACTTTTAGTGCGATTCTTATTGCCTATTAAATTCATATTTTTAGTGTGAAATACAACAGCGGTTAAAAAATCAAATTAAAATAACGGAACTAAATTTTCCTTGCTAACGTTAAATAGCAAAACTGAATTAAACCAGTTAAAATGAAAAATGATTCGGTTTTAGTGTGATGCAGCCATATCATATAACCCATGTAGCATTATCTATAAATTAAACGTAAATTTTGGTGAATTTTACGTAATATTTACGGAATGATATTACCCATTGAAATATTTCATAAAAAAAGCTTTGGAATATTTTAAGTAATATTGACGGAATGGATTTTACCAACTACTCATGAGTAAGATTGCTTTCGTATATTTTACGAAAGATTGACGGGAAAAAAATTACGATTTAGATTTAGTAAAAACGCTACTGTATATTTAACGTATTATCGACAAAGCAGATTTGCCATTAAAGTTTCGGTAAAAAGTTTTCGCACATTTTGTGTAATAATGTTGATGTATATTTTACCATTTAGATTTTGGAAAAAAAAGCTTCCGTATGTTGTAGTACATATTGACCAAATAAATTTACCATTTTACTCCGGTAAGAATATTTTGGTATTTTTTACATAGTATTGGCGAAGTCAATTTACTATTTAGATTTGGAAGAAATACTTTTGTGCATTTTAAGTATTATTTACAAAGCTAATTTACTATTCAAGTTTAGTGATTTGTTAGCAAACTAGGTGGTTACTTATAGATTATAGAAACATTGTGATAGCAACTCCAAGCTGTTGCCATCACGAATATAAACCTAGGACCATTATGCGCAAGTTTTAATATCACTTTAAATAGATTTTTTAACAAAATATCATGATATTTTTTCAATTCAACAAATTTATATTTTAATTTCGTCAATATTACCGCTACCCTAATAAAATCATCAACACTCACATTAATATTACTTCATTAGCTTTAAAAATGTACAAATTCGAAATAATAGTCAACATTTTTCCATTCTTCGTTGACAACTTGTCTCCTATTTCGAATCACTTTGTTTCTTCTCTTTCACGTCTGGAAAATGGTCGCCTGTTTCCGAGGACTTGAATCATGTCACCTGTTACTTCCAGTTTGCATATTTTTGAAGGGAATGAAATTTTTAATCAAGCAATATAATAGCCACTTCTGCAGTTTCTTGGGATTATTTATTTCATACTCACGTTAATATATTCAATAACTTCCACATTAATTGTTGTTCAATAATTATCGTTATGAATAACGTTAAATTGGCTTTTCTATATG